AAGCCGTCTGTGTACAGGCACGTGCATGCATGTGTGCATGTATGTCTAAACGTGGGAATGTATGCATATGCGTGCCTGTTCATGCGTATGTACTTATCGCATTCAGCATTCATATGTACACTCATGGCCCTCCCTCTCTCTATATATATATATATATATATTAGCATATATATATACACATACATACATACACATGCATACGTGTGTAGCATAGTGTTAAAACCCAAAGTACATACAATGCAAAAACCCAGGCCCCATGACAGCCCGCTCTCTAGGGTTTAGGGCTATGCGTGACCGGCATGCTCATCGGTTCAGGGTGTATAGTATAGCGTTTATACAGGGGTTCAGGGGTTCGTGCTTAGGGAGTCGGGTTCAGGGTAGGCTTTAGGGGCGCACCCGGCGCACTCATGTAATCTTGCTTTGCGGGTATTTTTTGGGGTGTCATGTAGGAAAAATCGACGACTTGCATCACTTTTTCCGCTTGGGTGTGCGGACCCCTCACAGCGCCACCGTAAGCGATGGCTGGGATTACCACTTTGTCGATCTGTAACCGGCTGCTAAAGTACATCATGGAGTAGAGGAAGACCTCGCGCAAACGAAGCATCACGGCAAAAAGCAATTCAAACTGTAAATTGTTTGGTCGAACGTGCCCTGCAAAGACCATGAACTGCTGCGAATGCTCTGCTCTTGGTTGCAGGCGTAGACAGCAGAGGAGCCACTCGCCAAAAAGGACCTCTCCAGCTTCGTCGATCTTTAACTTTTGCTACGATTAGTTCCTGACCGAGGGCTTGAGGGTCCCAGATTGTTCCGAGTCTATGCTGTTGGAATCTGCGGGATGAAGGCGGATGTCCGAATGACCATCCTGGTCGAGAGTGCAAGCTGAGGGCTTGAGGTGTTGGAAAAAGGGAGGAGGGGTGGACTTTCGTTCTTTAAAGCTGGTTTTAAATCTGCCAATGTTCCGAGTTCAGAAATGACCGCAGCTCGGGTCCGTCGGGTACAAACTCCGAAACAGGAGACGATTTTGGGCGCATAGGTCCAGAGATGCACCGCTCAGCGGCGCCAAGCTGTGGGTCACACGGGCTTGCATTGAAAGGTATTCTCTACCAAATCCTAAGGTGCTCCGTCTGAGCGAGACTAAAGAAAGTTGAACTCCTTCGACCTGGTGACATGCACAGAGCAATTATCGGGCCATACTATCAGCCCCCACAAAAGCACTTGTGTAAAAGCACAATGTGCTGCCGTATCACTCCTGGCGAATGAGATATCCCATGTACAAGAACAAAGCAGGCCGATTATTCCAGGCATGCTGCCGGGCACGGTATAGCAGCATAGCATCACAGTCCGGCTTTGTGAGCATCTCTCTAGCGAATGTCAACAGCCCATGCCTCCACCACCAGTTGTAATTTTCGGCCGTTAGCTGAAAGTACGTCAGCCTCGGAAATGTCAACTGCCCAGGACCAAACGCATTTTCTGCCAAAGACAAAGTCGACGCTCGTCTCTTCAACCGTAAGTCTCACACGCGATAGAGATCTCTGCACAGGTGATCAACAGAATGACAAGCACCTGCGCTGATAGAACAGCTCTTCGAATTCACATGACATGTAGCCTGAAACTGCCATCCTCTCCTGCTTCACATCTGCATGAACTGTTTATATCCTTACGTGCATCTAAGCTATTCTCGTCTCCACTTCATGGCACAGCTCTCAGCGGGGGTAATACGAGCAGCACTAGGTGGCACCAGGGCCAGGAAACCAAAGAGGTAGTAGAACTGATGTTGCCACAGCGACGACCTTGGATGAGACCAGCTACTTGTACATCTTTTTCTCGCAGCGTCTATGCAACCGAAAGATTTGCGCGCTCATGTTACTCATGCTGTCTTGCCGCATGATGAAAAAGAGCTCCGTGAAGACGGCGCCGAAGGGCAGGATGCCGCCAATCGCACACCTGAGCAACTTCAGAGTAGAGACGAGCTCGGAAACCAGACTTGTGACCGGCCCCGGCCAGTACCAAGGTCGCAGCGTGAAGAGCGGCTGCATGAACCAGGCCTGCGCCGGAATCTGCCTCCATGGGCAACTTTTAATCACATCGGCACCTTCCCTTCTTTTGATAAACTTTGGATGTTCCGTTGGAAAGGTCAATGTTCCAGCAGAGCTGGCAGCATGCGCAGGAATCTCCTGGCATGGCTTCAGAGACTGCTGTGTTACTCTAGCGTCCAAGAGAGGGTTCCAGCACGGCGGTGCAGCAACCAAAATGGAACGCTCCACACAAGCCGGTCGTTGTGCCCTGTCGCGCGGAACTTTGCTCAAGGGTCAGCAAGTCTTGCGTTTTTTTTCTCGGTCTGTTCTACCGAGTCTGCTTGGACCCCAGCGCAAGTTGGTCCCAGCTCGCAAAGTGGCGTAGTGTAAAATTACATCAGGGGTATCCGAGGATCAGGGACAGCACCACGCTCATCCTCGCTGTCGGGACGAAGCCACTGCCATCCCGAAGAATACACAGTATGAGTCAGCATCATGAGAGCCTCCGTTCCCTGAATCCTGCAATCGGAAGGAATTCGGAAATGCATGCACGGCAGTGCATAATCCCCGAAACCTGCTTGCCTTGCATCGTTTCCCAAGCCAACAGAGAGAAGCAACCTTCTTTTGTTCGCGAAGGGCCCTTGCATGTGAGTTCACGGCCCGCAGCCTTGTGCTTTGAGAGCGACCAGGGGGCAGCAAAGCGCTAGACTCGATGCCTTGATGATACTCCGCTTCCGACTGACATCTTGGCAAGCCCGGCCCTTCAGACGGGGCAATGAGTTGGGTGTTGAAGTACTTGCAGCCAGCTGCCAGGTTGAACTCAAGTGAGACGCCGAAGCTCACCGCGGCTGTGAAACGGAACTCGAGCGCTCACCCAGAGTTTCCCGATACGCGTGGGCTCTGCAAGCCTGGTTCCCTGTTCAAAGACCAGCACAGGAAACAGTCTGGGGAGAAGCGGCCGGGTCTACGTGGAAGCCTGCGAGGTGCACCCATATTAGTGCTCTCCGCAGCATTTCTGGACTTGATGCGCAAGGCCGAGGCAATCGTGACGATGGAATCATGAACATCTTCGTGTAGCTGCGGGCTCGCGCACTGCGTCCTGCCCTGGCAGCAGACACGGACCATTCTCGCATCTGCTAGTCGGCAGAGGTTTCCCGCTGCATTGCGGGGTACATACCGGGAGGTGAAACTCGTCAGTGAAGATTATTCACATCGGGCTTCGGATGTCGGAGCCGCTCGAACTGGCTCAGAATGCTTCTTTTCTGATAAAGCCAGACAAAGTCCCTGCACTCCAACTAGTAGCTCCAGCAACTTCAGTATAAGTGAAGCGGCGAAGCCTCCAAGCCGAAGAATGCATTCTTCGATGCTTCTCAGATGGAGATCTTCTTCCTGCCGAGCTCGAGTATGTACTTACATGGACACCTGTCAGCTCCAGCCGCGAAGTTTCTTATGTCTCTTCCGCCTTGCAAGCTCTGCCCAGTACTTCTCGGGGACGCCGCTCTTCTTGAGCTCCTCGATCTTGCCTGATTCTCACACGCTCGGGCCCTGAAGACTCAAAGTCCACAATGACCGTCAGATACTCCCGACTCCCAACCGTCATGACACTGTACTTCCGCACATGCCCTCGCTGTGCAGGCAAGGCACGAGCTTTGATCTTTTCTAACCTGGGCACGGGTGTAGCCCTCTCCCAAGATCTGCTACCCAGCAGCGCAATTCTGCGTGAGACGGTTTGGAGACGGTTATTGGGACCGTGCTTCCGAATGTGTCAAGTGCCTGTTGATTTTTTCCTCTTTGTGTCTCTCCAGGTTTGCGGGAAGGCTTCGAGGGCTCGGCACTTCGTGACTTCCGGTGCACCAACGCCTAATATATCGTTGGGCTGCACCATCCCGAGGTTCAGAAATTGAACGTTGCGATCTGCGGTGAAGCCACACTGTTGGCATACTGTTGGCTAAAGAATGACACACGCTGAGGCTTGACTTGGATTTTCGTTGCGAGCAGCTTCTTGCGCTCGTTGCCGATGGATGCTCGTACGGAGTTCCCCTCTTCAAGGAAGTCACGTCGCTCCTCCAGGCAAAGCCGTGGAAGGGAAACACTGCATAATGTCGGTGAATATGATGCTTGAGCACTGGCAACGAAGCAGCTAACCTAATCTCTCCTAACGGAGCCCAGGCCATGCAGCCAGTACATTCCCTGTGCAGCGGACGGTCCTGGTAAGCTTTTTCTTCTCGTGCCGCGATCTGATGTCGGAGCTCCTGTGCGATTGTCAGCACATCGAACAGTAGAATTTGGAATAGAGTCCAGAACATCCACTGCCACAAAAGCAGACACTCGGCAAGCTTACGCAGCATCAAACCGGAAAGCTTTCCTGAGCGTGCTGGAGGCGCATGTGGTGCTCCTGACAATTCTTCAGGTTCCATGGCAAGACGACTACGATACATCGAAGAGCAGCCACACCACAGCATGGGAACAGCTTGCATTTTCAGGCCTCACCCTGTCGTTGCCGTTCAGCCTCCTCCTGCTGCATCTGCACCTTTCCCCCGCATGCGGATGCAAACCGGTATGGGCATGAGCAGTCTCAGGCGTATGGGTGGCCGTAGGCCTCGATGATGCGCTCGAACTCGTCGCGCTCGAACTTCGCCTGCAGTGTTGCTTCCGACTCCCACGGACTCCTACGTTTGGTGCCGGAAATGTAGCCAGCCAAAGCACCTGGCCTGCTCGCCCAAGCGGCGCTCCTTCTCTGCCTGCTGCTGGAAGCGCGCCTGGGGCATACAACTGCTGCGAGCGAGTGTCGAAGCTGCCCTGCGGCCTCTTTGAGATCGGCGTTCATGCGATCCTGGCATGGAAGCAACACCAACCTGGACCAACCCTGTGCGAAATGCGGGCCTGCTTCTGCTTCTCTGCTGCCTCCTTCTGGCGTGCTGCCCTCTCAGCTGCCTCCATGGCTCCTGATAACGACACGGCACACGAAGTTTGATGCATGCATCTTCTGCCATCCTATGGGTGTGCGCTCAACACTGTTCATGACGTCGAAAAGCTTGACTGGCCAGATGCTGTCTGGGGACTCTTTGCCCGGAGTGCATCCATTTCAGCTGCCTTGTCCTGAGCCTTCTCCTGCCTGGCACAAGGCAGGGAGAGAGAAGCGGAACTGGCGTGCGACCCTTTCGCTCGGGCTCCGACATTGCCCTCAGCCTGGCGGTTTCTCTCTCCTGATCGGCGGAAGTGGAAGCGGCTTGCCGGTCCCTTCAAGCATCGGAGCCCTCCCTCCCCTCCATCCCCTCCTCTCCTCTTCTCTTCTCTCCCCTCTTCTTTTGACGCGGTGCCAGCACTTAGCCGGTTCATTTCGTCTACGTCTTTCGTCTTTCGTCGTCGTAATTCCGTCCGCGTGTTCTTCTATCCTGCCTGCCGCTCCCCTGCACCCTCAAGGAATCCAAACCACAGAGCACTCGACGCCGCAAGTCATGCAGGCATTTCAATCACGAGTCATGCTTGTAAAGTATGTCCAGCACCGGAATCCAAAAAAAGCTTTGTTCGCTCTCCGCTTCGCTCCACCTTTACGACCGGCGGTTACAACACGTAAAGTCAAGCTGCCCACATGGCTGGGGCCCGGGGCAGATCCACCAGAACCATACCGAACTTCATAGTTTCGCGCTGTTCCGTCACCTCGCCTTATCGGCAGCCAGCCGGGACTTCTCGGCCTCAAGGTCGCGCTCCCGCTGCTCCTTTCCAGAAAATTTGCAGGCCATCAGAGTGCCACAGCAAAGGGAGAGGAAGCAGATTCGGAGGCGTGGTGCTCGTGCGCAGTGTGGACCGGCGTCCTTGGCCTCTTGGTATTCGATGATCTTCCTAAGCACAGCCGTTCCATCATGTCACATGCCTTCTGCGAACATGAGCCATGAGACTGCTAGGTGAGAGCCAAGTCTCTGCTCTTCAAGCTTTTCAGCGAGCATGCGCTCCTCGGCAGCGACGAGAAGTCTCCAGGTAGCTACCAGCAGGTGGCTGCCAGGTGCTGCGTGGCGTTGATCTATAGAATCTAGTAGCAGCAGCATGTCGGTACATCGTGACACGCGGCTTCATGCGTTTAACCTTTCACATCAGAGCTCAAGCAATCCAAAATCTGAACGCTTACGTCTGTCCATAGTATACCACCTCTTGTTCCACTCTCGTATTTTGCTAAGGAAAGGATATCCCAGATCTCGGAAGACCACCTCTTTGATCTTCATGGCGGCTCCATTGGCTTCATTGACCTGTGCGAAGCTCGTGCGGGTACAAGAGGGTACAACATGCTTTGACCAGACACGCGTGTCGGCGTTTCATCGCAGATCGACGCCTACCGCCAAGAGAGCATCCCTTGACCAATTCAATGACCTGCCTCCTGCATGAGCCGTTCAGCCGCCAGCTTCTTCTGCTGCCTTCAATCACGCCCAGTGTAACATCCAGAATCAGAGTTGTGATCTGCACCGAGCTTACGGTCCGGACATGGACCCTAAAACTGCTCAAAGCGTCAATAGGAGCTTGTGCAGCCAGGGCGCTGCTGCTCTACCTCCTCAGCCTTGAGAGACTCGATCTGCTTCAGCACAAAGGATCGCTCCTTTCAGGCCGTCGTCGCGATGCAAACGGGCATGGAAATTGCAGGACACGGGGTCATATTCATAACTCGATTCTACAATACCTGCCTGGTCTCTCTGCTCCTCCTCCTTCATTCGCTGTGCTTGTCGGTCCTGTCAGAGCCCACAGTTGACTGGAAGCATTTACACTCTGGCGAGACGCGGCATGTCCTTGATCTGCTCAATGATCACCTTGGCACCGGCCCGCTGCGACTGCATCCGCTCCTGCAGTGCGCCCTTGCAGCGACCGGTCCCACCCCTGCAAGCCTTCCGATTCAATCAGAGCATTGCAGACAGTCTTTTCTGGATCGTCCCTTCTGAGCCAGTCTGCCTGCAAGCCTTCCAACACCCAGTAACGGCAGCGCACAGGGTGCCCTAGGTCCTGCTCTCGAACTTCGTACATTTTCAGAGCCTGGCGCGGCAGCACACATGACACTGGCAAGTCCTTTCATGAGCACATTCGACTGAAGCCTTGAGGCGCTCTATCTCCATCATGGCATCGAGGTGTCGCTCCTGGAGATTGCAAAGACTACACTTGCTTCTCATGGAGGGACCTGGCTGAACCCTTCTAACCATCATTCAATCCATAAACCCTTTCTGCCTCCATGCTGAATCTGCCAAGCCTTCAAGCCTTGCGCAAGATATTGCTTTCGAATCTTAAAAGCCACCAGCAACAAGCACTAAAAGGGCCACCACTGCGGATAACTGCTGTGAAACGCCCAACAAGTGCCCGCAGGTCCTCTTCCTCCTTCTCGGCTTGAACCATGCGCCTTGGCAAAACCGCCGAGGGCAAAACCGGTCCGGCATGGCTGCTCGGGCTTCAGCACATTTCGGGCTTTAGCAAACGCACATAAAAGCACATTGACGTGAAGATCTGAGATCGCGTCAGGTTAACTTTTGTGGGTGTCTGCAGCCACGGCGCTTCTCTTGAATCTGCGCATCGCGGATAGTCACTATCTTGGAGTAGAGCATCATCTGGTTCATGTGCTTGACCTGCTGCATCAAAGTTGTATCAGTGACAGGTGAGGCTCGATTGTACAGGTAGCAGGTAGCAAGATTTGAGCGGCAAGACTCGTGAGAGAGGAAATTTATATAACGTGATGATTATGCGATTTTGCATTCGGCCACTGAACGTACAAAACCGCTCGCCGGGAAAACCGAAGGCTTTCTTGTCTGCAGCCCTCCAGCTCCACGGGCGTTTGCCGTTGCTTTCTGAACTGGCTCGTCTGTGGCTTTTGGATGCTTCCCCTCTGCTTTTCCGAACCGCTTCTCCGTGCTTCGCCAGGCCACGTCGTCCATGTCCTCGTCCAGCATCTGCCTGAGAGCACATGGCTGTCATGTTTGGGATGGCGGCCTTCAGTATCCTCAGGCTTCCAGCCACTTTGAAGGGCCAGACACCACTTGTCTGAATTTAGCCCAGGTGCTTGGCCCGCTCCAGCACGCCACCTTTGGCTCCTCGAGCATCCTTGGCATCAGTGAGACAAGTGAACCACAGGCACCTGTTGAGATCTTCGGCTGATCGCTAGGAAACCAAAGTCACTGGCCTTGGCCGTCTCAGCTTGAATGGCATTTCTCTTTCGCTCCTCCTCCATTTGCCTGCAACGTAAGCAAAGTCGCGAGATTACCTCCTGATGCCACAGGAGGTCATTGCTGGCACTCTCCTGAAAATCCCCTGCTCAAAGGTTAGAAGACTTGTAAACAAAAATAAAACTGCAAGCTTCAGTGAGCGTAATGCCATCCTCAGACTACCAAAACCCTGACATGCCTGATCTTCTCCTTTCTCGCGATGGACTTCGCTTGGCGCTCGGCCAGGGCCTAGGTGCGAAAAAATGTCGCGAGCACCTGGGTTCCTCCTCTCCTCTCTCGTACTGGGCCGTGCCGTGGCCCGGACCTCCTCCTCGCGTTTCTTCTGCTCGATTTCCTGATGATGCAGCGGCTTGTGCGGACAGCTACAGGTCCCGTGGCATTTGCAAGCGGAGATAGGAAGCCGGACAAGAACTAGAGCCACCGGCAGGAAACCCTTGGCACTATCTGACCAGGCAGGACTCACAAGAACGTCCCAAACTTCATTCATCTGTTCCTACATATCGAGCAGTCCTCTTCCTTGCTGAGGAGTTTTGCGTTCTCACCTCGGCTGCCCAGGCAATTTCACCCTACACCCATCACAACATCATCGGCAACTCAACTCCAGCGAACATAGGCTAACCAAAGGCAGCCGGGGAGCGCAAGCGGTTGAGCTCAGATGCCGCGATGACAACGGCTTGCTCCTACGTTGCTGGCAGGCGCTGGCGGTCCACTAAGCAGCGACACAGCCCCGGGTATGATTTTCATGATCTCGCCAACTCTCAACGAGCGCTCCCAGAAAGCGCAATGTAGATACTCCACCAATGTTAGCATTGGACCCAACGTCCTTGGGGTTGGCTTTCGCATTATGCCTGCCCGAGCAATCATGGCTGGAGATTTTCTGAGAATTGCCGCAAAATGGCGATGACTCCCTACCCCAACCAAGCAAGCACCAACGATCCGAACCTCGAACCTGCACTGAGGAATTGGACAAATTAGCCGAGAGCAGGGGCTTCTGATGGAATTCATCCAGGCTCAAGCCAGACTCGCAGTCAACCGAACTGTTACCCAACTTGTGCCCTCGAACATTAGGTTGTCCATGTACGCATCGCCTCCCTTGGTCGGTACCAACGAAATACGTAGACCCGTGCAAGCGATGCAAAAACAGAGGCTCAAGACTGGCCTGTCATACCTTTTTCGAACCATGACCGTGTCCTTGCCAACGATCATGACTTCCTTCCAAACTCAAGATCTCTCAACATGATGGTAGTGCCATGCTGTAGCTTTAGATGAGCATAAGCACACTCAGCATCTAGGAGGGCGGTGTCGGGAGGTGCAGCAATTCAAGAAAATGGCTCAGAGAAGACAACAAGCAAAGTCCTTGCCATCAGCTTGCTTGGGCATGGTCTTGTTGTGAGCCTCCAGGAAGTGTCCATGCTCAGCCGATGCTTTTTTTATAAGAGCATCTCGGAGAAAAATGAATGCATTCAGCTGAGAGGCATTTCCGAACAGCGTTTCGTCGATGTCGGCATTTGTGTTTAGTGTGCCTGGGTGTCAAGACAGCTGTGTCAAAGCTAGCAAAAGGACCTGCATCTTCCTTGCTTGTGCCAACCGCGTTGCGATACCGATTGGATTGGCTTTTCAAGCTGCCAATCGATTGGGCAGCTGTTGAGCCCGGCATCTTGTCAAGTCCTCAAGGCTGCAGCCAACACAGTACTTCGCTATATTCACCTTCAGGCAAGTTTGCACAGCCCGAACTCTGAGGACGCATCCGAACCGCAAATGGCGCCACTTAACCTCAGCTTTGTCACGACAGACAAACCAGCACGGACAATGATGCGACGGCTGCACGGATCTGCGACCGAGCAGCTCCCTTCTCGGCTTCGCTTTGGCCCAATGAGGGGCAAAAGGGACAACGGCAAAGGACCGAGCCCAGCTTCGGACAAATTCTGCTGCGACGGCGAATGGACTGCTACGGAAGCTGGGGCGGAGCCATGTGGGAAGAAACGCTTCTGCAGATATCACCGATCGTCTACCTGTGCTCCTTGCATCTGCGGCCTCGGCACGTGGTTCGTTCGCACTGGCAGCTCGATGGCCTGCCCGCCAGTGTCAAATGCCCTGCCGCCCAAGCTCAGACTGTCTGCCAGCAGTCACCCTTTTGCCGGCGGAGGTTAGGCTAAAGAATTGACAAAACGCTGCATTGGCAAAACAAGGCTTTCCGCAAGGTTGCAATCGTACTGCCTGGCATTCGCTGTGGGTCAGTCTCACGTACCGTATCCAAAAAGAACTAAGAACCAACTACAGCTGGCTCTCCCACGTAATTGCCGTGATGGCAACATGCAATGAGGATCACAGGATCACACGAGTGGTTCGGCCACTGCTGCTCCTCTACTCCAACAAACTCAACTACTGCCGTTGTTGCTACGAGGTTGTGTGCGAATTTCCATACTGTACGCATGATCTGCGTTGTGCTCCCACCAGCATCCAAACCAAACAAAACTACAACGAAAATGCCTTGGAACCACACAGCCTGCAAACGACAAGCGTAAGAACCATCATGCTGGGAGTGTCGTCTCGAATCTCTCCGACTCGGGGCGGAGGTGTTGTAGATGCAGGAGGTGGCAAAACTTCGTCATGCTGCGCGACACACGAGACGACTGTGGCCAACATGAAACCACGTGCTTTGCTGGTGTCAGCCGCTGCAGTCTGCAATTCACAAGCCCGGCAAAGCCAAAGCTATGCAGTCAGTGCTGTACATATCATGCAGGGCCTTGCTTACAACTTTGCACTACAAATCATGCAAAGCCTTGCTTACAAGTCTGCACTGCACTGCACTTGCTTTGCTGGTGTCAACCGCTGCTGTTTGGGAAGAGATACTAACTCAAGCAGCAGGAAATCGCTGCTCCGATTGAAGGCCGCAAGAGGGCAAGGAAGACCTTTATATTATAAGCGTCTTCCTTGCCCTCTTGTTGAGTTGGTATCTCTTCCCAAACACATCTCTGCTCACAGAACGGCTGGCGATGGCATTCGCAACGAAGAGTCCAACATCCAAGTACAACTTTTTCGTACAGTTGATTCACAAAATTCAACGACCGTCAAGAAAGCTTTCGGCTCTGGTGAAGGAATTTGACCTGAACTGCAGTGACATGCACTGACATAGTTGCGACTGTTGCTCCCACGGTTCAGTGTGTTTCCAAGGTCAAGAGTCGGCATGCTCCTGCCATCGGCCTCTTCAACCCCAAGTTGCGTAACTCGTCGGTAGACGACAGCCACACGGTTTGCCGAGACGACAGATTGAAACAAAAGGCGAATGCTGATCAGCCTCGGAGACAATCATGACATGCAGGTACATTTGTGAGGCGTAGATAAGTTGTAGGGCTGCAACCCTCCAAGCAAAATGTCAAGCGGCGAATGCTGGAAACTCCCACTGTGCCGAGTTCGGCTGAATGCAGAAGAAGCCATCCAAAGCACGTCAATACATTCATGCAAAACACTGTTTCTGCTGCCGATTGCCTCTGTACATGCTGGACAGCAGCGCGCTGTCTCACAATTTTGCCAGAACTTCACCATCGGTCCTCATCGTTAGTGAGGCTGTACCCCAGCACAAAATGCACGCGGCCCAGGCCATATTCTTTCCTGAAATGCGCAAAGGGGGAAAACGGAAGCGCGTATCACCAAATGAGCCCGGGCCCTAGAAATACACAGTAATCTCAAAGCCGGGCGTCAGGGACATCTCTGCCTCCACGACATCCGTGCCAGGCTTTGTGGCCAGCAGCTCGCGACGCCTTTCTTGGCATGCCTCAAAGGCCCAGGATGCCCACGACAGAACTTCTGACAGCTGCAGGAACACGCACACAAGCAAAACTTTGTCTCAGGTGCTTTGTCGTGCTTGTCCCGGAGTTTGATGATGTCTCGCACCGTAAGGTTCTCTTCCGGGATGAAATCCTGCTCAGGTCGCTCCCACCGAGTTGAGACGACATTTCAATCGACTCCAATTCGCACCTCCAGTACATTGGGCACCAAGGAGCCCTCCCGCACGGTGAAAACCACTTCAACCCCGGCGTGGACCTCGGAGGCGTCGAGCTGCACTCGGCGAATGATCCGAAGCCCCATGAGCTGCTTTCAGCTGCAGTCTGGGCGCCACCGGAGTCTTCTGAGTGACCTTCATAGCCTTCTTTTCAGAACGGCCCCGCGTAGATGAGAACTGAGGAGGTGCTGCCACTGTCTCTCCAAATGGCCAGGGAATGGTTGGATAGCCTCAACAAGTTACCTCTACATGCCATCTGCCCTGGTCGAAAAAAGCCAGGGCACCTTCTAAATGCCCGGGTCCACCAAACCAGCATGCAACGCTCGCCAGTGAAGATGCCACCTGTGCGTGCAGACGCGTGCAAACGTGCCACCAGCAAACACAGATCACTCAACTTCGGCCTTCAGCGCCATCGTCTCCAGCGCCGGAACCGGCACTGCGGCGACCGGGTCACCCACCAGGCCCACGATCTCCCTCAGTGCCCATGTACGGCATAACTCAGGGACGGAACGTATGTTGTCCAGTCTAGCAACAGCAGGCCGCTGGTGGAGATGGCAACAGCCGTCAGGGTGCTGCCTTCCGGTGCCGCGTCGATTGTTGCAAGAGGGTGACCATCAGCGGTTAGGAGCCTCGTTCACTGCGCTGCAAATCTTACTGGTGCTTGTGCTTTGTGCAGGCGAAGTGATACGAGCCGAGGCGCCTGCATGCACTCGTGCTCATTTTGGTGACTGTGAGCTCCCTCAACTCATCGAGGGACGACACTTCCACTGCTTCTATTAGGGTCTTCCCACTCATCCCAACGACTGTGAAGGTACGGCGCAAAGGCTCCGCATCGGGCATTCCGGCCATGCACCAGGATACCCGGGAATATTCGGGAATGCCCGGGAAGCCCTACTCTGATGGACAAACACTCCTCTTAAGCCGGTGCGGAAAGGACCATGCAAGACTTGCACTGTCAACCCGTGAGCTTTATGAAACTGGCAGCCCATGCCACAACCCGCACACCCCAGTGCAAAACCTGCCTCGCGCCGAAAACCAAAATAGGAGCCCAAGAAGACTAGTGGCACCTCAAAGAGCACAAGTCGCAGACATACTGTACAAGAGACAGGCATACCCCCTGCTACGAACTGACTCCTACATGAAGGCACCAACATGCACCAGCCATGGGTCGACAGCGCTGACTCTGCTGCTGGCGTTGGACTTAGGCGACTGGCGGAGATGCCGAACCAAAGAACCAGAATTGCGAACATCGTCGTGAATGGGACTGCCCCTGAGTCGCACAAGACAAAATCAGAGACGCAGAACCGGGGACATGTGGGGATGAGAGCTTTTGCCCATGGCGTCTGAGCCGCCAACCTGACGACTTCTGCCCCCAGATGAAAAGGTTGAGCACAAAGAAGACCATGAAGATAACCCTCAAAGGCAAGCAGGGTGATAGTTCGTTCCAGATTCTGACCAACTTTCGTGTTTCACATTACCCGCATAACTCGCTTCGCAAAGGGGAAATTGGAATGTCGTCCGGCGGCATCAAGTTGCAAACTGGAACAATGGTTCTGTAAGGCTGCTTCAGTCAAGTCGCCCAGGATAGAGCATGGCGGTCATCAGCGTGTTGGTCTTCCAATCCTCACCATTGAAAACCTGCTTGGCAGTGGATGCCGGTACTTGTTTTGCATGCTTCACAGTTACCCCTGCAAATCTGACCAGACACGTTTTTTACGGGGAGGGTCTGCTGTTCGATTTCGCAGAGCTGGAATATCTGAAGTTCGTGGCAGCATGGAACAAACGGGACCTTCCGTTAGAAGAAGTAATGGCACGTCGGGAAAATGCACACAATGCATCGAACAGGCCTTGTAGAGCCGTG